TCTAAAATTTTTGAGTTTTTTTTTTTTTTTTTTCATTAGATGGACAGTCACAAAATAAACATATATTGTTCAAAATTCTTGAACATAACAATTGTAATTTAAAATTCAATTGTTTAAACTTTAGTTATACTATATTTTCTACTTTATATTCAAGAATATTTTCATCATTATCCTGAGTCCTATCGGATTTTAACATGGTGGTGCGAAGTAAGTGAATCAAGAGGATTTTGATTATCGGACATTAAGACTAAACTTTGAATTTGGATTTTTAAAAGTATTTTTTCAGATTTTATAATATCAAAACCCTGGAATTCAAATTTAACATGATTTCTTCTTCCAAAATATTTTTAAAATAGATAAAATATACTTTTAACCATAAAAAAATTCCCATTTCCTAGTATACAGTTAAAACTTCAAAAATTGAAAAAAAAAATCAATAAGCTATTTTTCTAATATTTTTACCCAATATATAATGTTATTGGGACACTTCTGTGTAATTTTATCAAATATTCTTATCGAAAAATATTTTTCAAATTTTGCAAATTTTTGTTTTTCATTTCTTTTTCTTTTTCTTTTTTGCTCATCAAAATTTTCTTTTGTTTTTCTTTTTCTTTTTTATTCAATTTCTTTTTTCTTTTTTTTTTTTTAAGAAAGATAAAATGTAAAAAAAAAAGGATCTTCATGAGGGCAAATAAGTATTATAACATTGATATTCTGTGTCAGGTACTTTAAAATGAATTTTATTGCTAGCTAAAAAATATGCTTGTTCAACTTTTTTCAGTGAAATTTCAGGAAGAAAAAATTGGTTAGCACATTTCAAAATTTGAGATTCGCTTTTTTTTGGAGTTTTTGATTTTATTTTTCATTTAATATTTAAAATATTGGTCTTTTGTATATGTGTAATGATTTAAAAGTGAATTATAAATCAAATTTAAATACTTGACTGTTCTTGAATATTTTAGTTATAATTTTTTATTATTGTTTCAATATAAAATTTCAGGTAGGCAGCAATTTTTTTAATGTGTTTTTTTCTTTCAGAACTTGTTTGTGGTTGTTGGTTGTATTTATTTATAAAGGATAATTTTATTTTTAAGTTCCTACGTTTAATACAATTTCTCAATAAAATAAAAAGAGTAAGAAAATTAAACAAATCAATTATAAATGATATTTTAAGAACATCAATTTTAATCATCTGAGCTTTGTGATTAATTATTTTTTTTAATTTGATATGTACAAAAACTCTTTAATATTGTTGTTTTCTAATTAATGTATCATGTTTTTTAATTTTAGTTTCAAAATTTCATTGTTGATTCTTTGTTGAGAAAACGAAAAGATTTTGTCAAAAATAATTAAAAAGGATACTTTTTGAAATTTAATTCAAGTTCCTTTTTGAACTTTATAATAAAATTTTAGTGAGTATAATTTATTTTCACAAGTTTGACATTTTTTGTTTGAATTATAAATCAAGATACTCAAAATGTTTAAACATGACACAAGTGTAAATATGAACATCTTAAAAAAGAGAGTATGCCTCAATTTTTGAAGTTTCCAAACCTTAATTTTTGTTATTTTTGATATTTTTGCAATTAAAACAATCATTTTTATTTTGGAAACTTCTTACTTTATTCTAAACTATATTCAAATTCATTTTTAAGATGACAATATAATTAAATTTTGGATTTTTTTTTTTTTTGTAACTCATATCTATATTATCTAAAAAAATCATTATGTGGGTATGGTTTAAAATTTTGTAAGAGTATAAACTTAATATCTTGAGATAAAGAAGAAGTGTTAAATTTTAAAAATTTTGTAATTTCCAAATTTTACATGATCACATTCTTGATTATACTTTGTATTTAGAAATCATAACTAATTTATTATTGACAAGTATAGATTTTTTCAAAGGCTTTTATTAAATAATTAATAGCTATAGATTTAGAACAAAATATGTTGTGTTGTGGTTTTAAATACCAAATTTACAATGTTGAATTTAATTTAGTATAATATCAAAATTGATAAAAATTGAAAATATCTAGTTCTTCTGGAGACCAAGATATTAAAGCCCTAGTGCCAACGTAAAAGTAAAAAAAGACCATTTTTTTTCTTTTTGGTTTAATCTCCTTTTTCAAAAACCCCATATACAAAAAGTTGTCTGGAATGTAAAAATGATTAATATTCAAACATGGCCAAATACTTGGTTCATAGTATTACTGGAATATATTCAAAAAAAGTTTATTTAAAAAAAGGGACATTTTTTACTTTTATATTGGTAGTGATGCTTTAAGGGTATAATTTCACAATTTGTCGAATCATATGCTCCAATAGTGCCTTTTTTTTTTTGCAATGGACCTTAATAATGAAAGTAAAAATAAAAAACCTATTTTTTCAATACTTTTTAAGGAATCACTTAATATTTCAAATCTTTTCTCTATGAAAAAATAACTTGATAATTTGTTTCATATTTAATAATGAGCCAAATCACTTATCAAACTGAAACATAGCCCAACTCAACATTTAGTTTTTTGGCTTGCTGTTTATTTTTCTCAATTGTCTCAAGCCAACTAAATCTTTTGATCTTTTCACGATGATCATTGTTATTAGTAAATTATATTGTTATTTAATTGGAACTCCCGTAATAATAAAGTGTGTTTTTGATGATCAATCTTGAGAGGTTCACAAAATGATTTTAATTTACTTTGAAGAAAATTTGTTTGACTGAATAGAAATTTTTTTTTTTTTATCTCCATAACAAAGCACTTATTTTGAGCTTATATCAATAAAAACTTATATTTAAAATAATCATTAGGTAGTTCCTTAAGGTTCGAGTCATTTACCGTGGATTTGCCCCATATTTAAGAAGTGACTTGATACCAAAAAGGGTATTCTGAAATTGCTCTATTTTTAATTGACAAAATTCAAATAACAAATGAAAAATTTTGAAGGGATCTCAAAAACACAAAATTTCAATTAAATGAATTAATTTAAAAGCTATTCATTGAAAAAATTCAAATAACAAAAAAAATTTTTTAGAGGATCTCATTCGCCAAAAAATCCAATTCAAAAAAAAAGTATCAAAGGATCCTATTTGATAATAAAATTCAAATCAATTAAATAAAAATATTTTAAAAGGAACTGACTGTGTTGGTAAAACATTCAATTCAAAAAAATAGTTTAAAAGCATTACTAATTCCAAAAAAGCAAAATTTAAATTAAAAATTACTTGTCTTTTTTTTAAATAACCAAAGGGTTAAATTTCTTTATGTAAAACAAAAAGTTTTCTTAAAGTATACAATCAATTCAATTTGATTTGATCTAATATGTGGTTATATTGTAACTCTCTATATTTGACAAAGTAAGGATTTTGCAACATTCAGTTGAGTGATCAAAATAATGCCTTCCCAAAGACTATAATCCTTTTTTCAAAATATTATCCGTGCTTTTTTTTTTTTTTCTTCTTGTAACTAGGCAATATCCAATCTACTAACCAATAGTATACCTAAGTTCAAATCAATTTTGAAAGTAAAGGCCTGGTTATTTTTCAGTCAAATTTTAAATCATTCATTCAAATTGCTGAAAATTTTCCATAATACTCTCTTATTTTTTTGAAATTTTTTGTTTTTTGATTGAATAAAAATTTTTTCAAAAATTTACTCTATTTTTGAGATAAATTTTGCAATTTGAATCTTTAATTTTTAGAATTTCTTTTTAAATAATAGATCTTTAAGAAACCAATACAATATTTATTTAGGGTTTATTATCAGTTTCTTTGATTGGTAAATGTATAGGTCTTCTATAACAAAAAAACACGCTTTTTATTTTGAAACATCGATTAAATTTTTTTGAACGCTTTATTTTGACTACAGTAGGATAAAAATAACTCATTTAAAAAAATAGAAAAATGAAAAAAAAAATCTTGGGGATCTCAAAAAAGCTAAAAAGCACCTTCGAAACCAAAACATTTTTTTTCAAAATGATAAATTACAACTATTCTAATTGGAATTTAAGTATCTCTCTTTGGAGCGTTTTTCAAAAAATATCCTCTTTTTTGATTGTTGATTTTTGGAGATCGATATTACATCACATGTTGGTTTGTTTTTGATTTGTATTGTATCATTAAATTTGCAAAAATTTTTTAATCTAGGTTAGAAAAATATTTTTCACCTTAATAACTCAATCGATAACAAAGTTATTTTCTGAACTATTAATTTCATACGTTCTAATTGAATTCTAAGCCTACAACATAAATTTCTTTTGGTATTTGTTTTTGTAAACAGTCTCATTCATTCAAAAAATAAAATCGATTTCTTGTACAAAAAACAAATTGTTGGTTTTTTTGTACTACTTTTACACTTAACTTATCAAGTATTTGTGGGCAACCTAAATTGATATTTTCCAAATAAGTTTTTGATTGAGTAAGTTATGAGTTGAAATGTACGAAAATCTTTCTTCTTGTTTTTGAGATTTAGATTGAATAAAATTTCTTCTTTTTTTCGTTTTTACAAGATGAAAATCTAACTGTCATTTTTTTTTTTAAAGTTTAGCTAAAATTGACAAGTTGATAATTTATAAAAAGGATGATTCAAATAAAAAGAAATCTGATCCAATAAAATATCAAAATGCTTTTATTAGGTTTTTAGGAAGAGATCAGAAAGGGATGATTTTTTCACGTTTGTTATTCTCATCCAAATAAATTCAAGAATTTTTCCAGAATAAAACACCACTCTTATTTATTTCTAGATATTAAGAAGTTATTTAGAGTAGTACAAATCTAAATCAAAGAGTCTTTTTTAGCAAAAAAAATAGTTTTTGATATTTGAATAAATAATCCTATTTAGAAAAACAAAATGTTGGTAAAAGAATTGTAAGGTATCATGTGAGTTCTTTTGGATGTTCCCAAACAACGAATTTAGATAAATCAAATCAAAAAAAAACATCTTTAAAAATGAATTGAACTGTTATTGGTTATCAAAAAGCACTTTACATTGCTCGACAAAAAAAAACGTCAAGAAGACAGAATCGAACTGCTACCACCTTTCAATGGTCTAACGATTTGAAGTCGTCACTTGTGCCACACAAGCTCATCCTGACAAAAATGTTATAACGAAAATCAATGAAAATATTAACAATGTAAAAAACTATTTCGAAAAGTGCAAATAGTTAAAACAATATAAAGACAACTTTTTTCAACAAAATTAATGGTTTTGTGAATTAAGGTTTGTATATTTAATCAAAAAAAAATGACTGTTGTCAAAATAAAGCTTGCAAAAAAATTTAATCGATGTTTCAAAATAAAAAGCGTGTTTTTTTGTTATAGAAGACCTATACATTTACCAATCAAAGAAACTGATAATAAACCCTAAATAAATATTGTATTGGTTTCTTAAAGATCTATTATTTAAAAAGAAATTCTAAAAATTAAAGATTCAAATTGCAAAATTTCTCTCAAAAAATAGAGTAAATTTTTTTAAAAATTTTTATCATCAAAAAAAATCCTAAAAAAAATTGAGAATATTTAGAAAAATTTTCAACTAATTACATTGATAATTTAAAATTTACTCAAAATATCATGGGGTTTACTGGTAAAATTGATTTGAACTTAGGTATACTATTGCGTAGTAGATTGGATGTTGCCTTGGTACAAGAAGAAAAAAAAATACGACTATTATTTTGAAGCTAGAATTCTAGTCTTTGTTCAAGGATGATTTTGATCATGTCAATATTAGTAAATTAAATAACAAATTCAAAAAATTTTCATCATATATTTAACCATTAAAAAAAGAAGAAAAAAGCGGACTACTAAAAAATTAAACTTACTTTTATTACTATTTTCAGAAAGGAATTATTGTTTTTAAAAGTCTGATTTATTTATTATAATTTTTGAAAATTGTTCAAAATTTACCCAATTTCTGAATTATATCAAAAAATTTTTTTTTCTTCCTAGGTAGAAAGAAATCTTATCGTTTATAATGGAAATATTCAAAAAGAGGGTTTAAAAATTAAATCACTTAGTTTTTTAATAACTTTGTATAAAAAACACTTAAGGGATTAACATTACCCTAAATTTTGCATTTACTCAATGTATGTTATAATACGGTGCAAATAGTATGAGTGAGAAATGGCTCAAATAGTCTCAAATAACTCGAAAACAACTATTCTAAATCTTATTACACAATAAATTATTACATTTTTTACTAATGATAACTATCAAAAATTTTCATTTGAGAAATTTTTTTTTAATTCCTTTTCTCAAATCTAAAAAAGGAAACTCAAAATAATAGTCTGATAGCAAATAATAATTTAGATAGTATAACTTCATAAATTCATTATTTTTATAATTTTTAAATTTCAAAGATACACTCAATAATCATCAACCAAAAACCCAAAGACTGATTATTTTTTTTGCTTTTGATACTACTAATTCTAAAATCAATATAATTTCAAATATTTCAGAAATTCTTGGTCAAAAAAATTTATTGGTTAATTATTTCATTTTTAAAAAAAAAATCTAATTTTTTAGCAATTAATCTACTTTTTGCCACAAATTTAAGAAAGATATTTTGCAACTTTGGAATCTTGAAATTGATAATTCAACCTTTAAATACATCTCGATATCTAGAGTTTTTTCTGAAATCATTGGGTTTTTTATTAAAATAAGTAATCATTTTTAATTGATGAGATCAACAAATATTACTACTTAGCTAATCGATTTTTTAGAGATATTTCACACATGTATTACTAATTTAGTTAGACTCAATAAGAACATACTTTCATCTTAGGTTTCTCCTTCATAGAAGCTAATCCCTTAATTATAAAAAAAAATACAAGTAAAAGTAAATTTATTTAAAAAAAAGATAATTTCTTCAATACAAAGTAAATTCATCTGATCTATAATTTCAATTGTTAAATAATAAATTCTTTTCAAAATCAAAAAAAAATGAAGTTAAAAATGATCTAAGAATATTTCATTTAAATCCTGGGAAATTCAACACTGTAGATCAAGAAATTCGTTTTAATTTGATTTTTTGAAAATAACTATAAATTATGATCTAAATTTGATCCCCTTTTCAGAAAATATTCAGATAAGAAAAATACAACAAATATTTTAAAACCTTAGAATTAAATAGATGTTCAAAATTTTGAATTGAAGGGTATTTTAAACATTCAAACTTCTAAATGGATTAATTTTCAAAATGACGCCAAACCTTAGTGAATGGTCTAAAAGGTTCACGAAAGTGATAAAATTTTAGATAGTAATTTAAAGTATTATCTCTATTATTTCACTACATTAATACTAACTAAAATATTACAAGTATCAATTTAATTTACTTTTATTTCTTCCCTTCTTAACTTTTTCCATTAAATAATATTATTTCAATTCTATTCATAATAAAAAAAAAAAATAATTAAAATAGGTTCAAATAACTTTCATTAATAATAATAGTATTTTATTGAAACACCCTATAATTGAAAAAAAATAATTTAATCGTTTAAATTTAAAGAAATTTAATAAATTCTTAAAAATAAAATAAAGAATTTAAAAATGAAGAATAAATATCGAGCAAAATTGAATCTAAAATGGATTAAAAAAAAAAAAAAAAAAAGGGGGGGGGGGGTCAGCAATTGGATTTTCTATGATTTTGTGTATTAAAATCATCAAAAATTCATTTGTATTTGAATCGTTTTTCATTTTACATGTTGAGTCAAATTAGATAAAATAATAATTTATAATTAGAATTATTTTTCAGAAAAAAAAATAAATTCCAAATAAACTAAATTTCATAATAAATGGCCCATGTTACATTTGAATTTTGAAATGTATTTGTATTGTTTTGAAGTTTTTCTCCTCACAATGAAAAGTTTGAAAATAAATCTATTTTTCTCTTTTTTTAGTTTTTTCAACAGTATTTTTAATAAAAATGGGAAATGAAATTGCAAATTTGGAAAGAAGTAACAGATGAAAAAATGAAAAAATTGGTTTCAAATATGAAAAGAAGATATGATTTCGTTATTCAAATTGAAGGAGAATTGATAAATGTGTTTTATTAATTTTTTAACTTTTCTATTTTTTATGCAATGCATATTTCAAAATAAATGGAATAATTTTTATTGGTTGTTTTTTACTTTTTTTTATTATCTTTTTAGATGAAAAATAAATATCTATTAAGTATAGAACTGGATATTAAAATTGAAATTTTGATATTATTATAGTTAATTTAAATTGTTAAAAATATTTTTCTTTAAAATTTGATCTTTAAGAGGCAAATTATTTTTAAATAGATTTTATAATATGTCCAATTTTCACTGATGACTATTTTTTATTGTTGCTAGTTGTTTTTAAATTTGTCCTTTAATATTGATTATACACAATTTTTCAGTCAAAAGGGTCCATTTTAATGGATGGATCGCATATTTTCAAGGGGGTGAATGGATATTAGAAGAAAAAAAGTATTTTGGAAATTTTCAAAATTGAAATCATTTTTGTAAATTTTTTACAATTTTTTTAAATTCAATTTTTTTCGAACATCTAATTCATTTGCAAATTTTTTTTATTACAAGATCGATAGTCACTTGGTAAAAATGGTGTTATTCTAATGTTATTGAAACAGTGGAAATTATTATTGAGAAATCATATTGATTTCAATTGGAATTCTATTCGATCTTTGATCTTGATATTTGTTGAATAAATGTGAAAATTTTCATTTCATTTTCATCTCCTTTTTCAAATAGAGACCATAAATACCAACACACTTCGTTTGGGGACTTGATTTCTAAAAGAAAAGTATGAAAAATGAAGTGAAAAATGTTTCATATTTATTATTCAAATGCCAGTAGAAGATCAAAATAAACATTCTTGTTTTTCTCAATTGGGTTTTTCAGAATAAGGTTTTTTCGATATTTAAGAAAATCTATTGATTAAATAGTTTTATTTCAGAAGGTTATCAACCATTCTTTGATGTTTATTATACAATTTATTTTTTATTTGTTCTTCAAAGGCCAATTATATAATATATTTGATATCTGAAAAAAATGTTGGATAACTTTGAATGAAACAAATTTTAGTTTATTGGTTTCTGATTATATTGTATTAAACTTTGATCTTATCAAACTAAATAAATTGAATTTGATAAATATATAAATAGAAGATTTATTAAAGGGTTTAAACGGGTAATAGTATAAACTATGTATTTTGGAAATTTTATATAATTCCACTCATAGGTTAACATTTTTGTACAATTTTCTTTTTTTTGTTTTTTAAATTTTTTTTAGTGTCAACTCTATTGTTACTTTTTTTAAAAACTTGTCCATCTAGTGTTACTGAAATAGTGGAAATTATCGTCGAGAAATCCTATTCGTTTCTATTTGAATTTTATTTTGGATATTCGATTGAAGATCAAAATGAAGAATTGTTATTTTTTCCCAATCGTTTTTCATTAGAAATTTGTGTTTCTCATTTTTAAATAAGCCAATTGATTTATATAGTTTTGTTATATAAATATATCAAATATTATGGGTATTAATCATTTTCTGTTATTTCTTATTAAGTTCTTTGCATTTCATGTATAAAAAATAATTGATTTTTGAATTTTTTTGTCACATTTTACAGTATAAAAAGTCAATTTAAACTCTTTTTCAAAAATTGTGACTCGCCTGAAATAATAAATTGAAAAAAAAAATTATGTTTAGTATTCAAGAACTATTAATAACTAAATATGATTTGTAATTCTCTTTTAAGTCATTCTAAATCTATAAAAGCCTGATATATCAAAAATTAATAAAAAATCAAACCAAAAACTAAAAAAAAATGAGTCACAATTTTAGAAATGAGTATTATGGATTTTTTATTACTGAACTTTCACTTAAAAAAAGTTGAACAACGAAGATTTTTTATGAATAATTAAATCCATTTTCAAAGACATTACATAGTCGAAATTTTCTTAGTGATTATTTGTATTTTCGAAGATCTCTTTTTTTTTTCCACACGATCTTTGTAAAAAAAAAAAAAAAGAAAAAAAAAAAAAAAAAATAAAAAAAAAAGAAAAACAAAAGAAAACGAAAAATTTGAAAAAGTAAAACCAAAATTTACAAAA